TGAATTTCCTTCTGTCTCTGCTGCCCTGAGACAGCAAGACCAACCCCACTTCCTCCTCCTCCTCAGCCTATTTGAGATGAAGATAATGACGATAAAGACTTTTATGATGATCCACATCCACTTAATAAATAGTAAATACATTTTATCTTCCTTATGATTTACTTAATAGCATCTTCTTTTCTCTAGCTTACTTTATTGTGAGAATACGATATATGATACATATAACATACAAAAATATGTGTTAATCGACTATGTTATCACTAAGGCTTCTGGTCAACAGTAGGCTATTAGTAGATAAGCTTTTTTTTAATTTTTTTATTTTTTTGAGACAGAGTCTTGCTTTGTTGCACAGGCTAGAGTGCCGTGGCATCAGCTGAGCTCATGGCAACCTCAAACTCCTAGGCTCAAGCGATCCTCCTGCCTCAGCCTCCCGAGTAGCTGGGACTACAGGCATGTGCCACCATGCCCGGCTAATTTTTTCTATATATATAAGTTGGTCAATTAATTTCTATTTATAGTAGAGACGAGGTCTCGCTCTTGCTCAGGCTGGTTTTGAACTCCTGACCTTGAGCAATCCGCCCACCTCGGGCTCCCAGAGTGCTAGGATTACAGGCATGAGCCACTGCTTCCAGCCTAGATAAGCTTTTAAAGAGTCAAAAGTTACACACAAATTTTCTATAAGGTGTGGGGTTGACATCCCTAACTCTCTCATTGTTCAAGGGTCAACTATATTTATATTTTTCTTTTAGTTTGGGTGGCCTCAACATTTTCTTTTGTCTCTCTGTGACCTAAGTGGAGGCTTCAAGTCATTTCATTTATTTGTGTTGTCAGAATCAAAATGTGATAGTAGGAAATCAGTCAGGGCCAAAGTTATTGTACTTAGAAACATAGTAAGAATCATGCAAGCACCATATAAAGTGTATTTCAAATGAATCCGACGCTTAGAACTTGCTATGGTGTTCTCCCATCAAAACTTTTAGCTACTCTTTTAATATTTCATGGACTAGACATTTAGAAGCAATTATTGCTCAGTGAATTTACTCCAATATTAAAGAGAATTTACTCTGGAATTTTAACTGTAATTATCCATTCCTAATATGAGGACAGTCTCTTTCAGACTGGAAACTGTAAAGTCAACTGAGTTAGGTGCGCCCAGACCATGTGAGTAAAGGTGTAATGTTCTTTGTGAGAAGATTCCACAAATACCTCCAAAGTTGCACCTGTAAGCTTTGATGATCTTATGCCTGTGTCACCCATAGAGCCCAAGTCATGTGGCAAAGCTGGTTAAATGTCCTGGGAATGATGAAAATGCAGAAGTGGTAGTTAGTGACTTCTCAAACGATGGCCACCAAGTGGAAGGGCCTGAAAGCCAATTTATTGACGTGATTTATTTTCTATTAGGCAACAAGGGGATACAGAGCAGAGTGGCATAAGGGAACCACTGCTGAGATCTGTGCACATGACTTGGATTTAAGTCCCGATTTTACTGATAAAAAGTATGGTAAGGTGGAAAGAGCTGAATTCTAGGTCCAGACAGGACTGGGTGTAACTCTTTGGCTCTGGCCATTAAGATTTTGTGACTTTGGATTATGTAAAAGAGCTGCAATTTCCTAGTTAGCTAAATGGGCATAATTATACCCACCTTGCAGCACTCTGGAGAGAACATGAGATCATGTATCTCCATGGTGCCTGGCATGATCAGGGCTCTATAAATAATTAGGATATTGGGATGATTCCAATTGTGAAAGTCATCCTCTTTGAACATCATTATCCTTATGCGTAAAATGGAGTTGATTACACATATCTCATTGAGCCATTGAGCAGTTCAAGTGAGATAATGCACACAAAAGAGCTTTCTAGAATGCAAAGCCTAATGTTATTTCTCTTCTCATAAAAGTAGTTATTCGAGGGATATTACAGCCACCATTCATTAAGCACATCATTGTGCTGTTGTAGTCACCTCCTATTCACCCGACTGTTGAGGTGGGGATTCCTGCTCTGGGATTATAGGGATGGCCAGCCCATGACGCTTGACACTGGGCAGATGGGATCGACAGCAGTTTGTCAGTCACAAGTCCTGTCCTCCCAGTCCATGGGAGGTGGACACCTCTGGTAACAATAGGCTTGGGAGCAGATTAAACTAGTAGGGATTGATGTAGGGGCAGGCTTTGTAGTTCCCATGGGAGGATGCAATTGGCTCGTTTGGATAATTTTGTGGGCTGGCATGGAATGAAAACCCACTGCTAAGAGATAAGCAGGAGGAACTGCATTTGGTCCCTTTGAGAAGGAGGGCTATTTGGCCTGGAGACCTTATTGGCTAGAGCAGGTAGGGAGGGGCACTTGTGATTACGCCGTTTGAGGCCCTCCTGGCTTCTCCAAGATGTTAAGGCAGCGCACGATATTGGGCTTTAAGTTTAGGCCTTATGTCACACGTGTGCCAGGGAGTTTGCAAGTCTTTAAAATCCTCATTGACCCTCCAAGGTGGATGTTATGGTCTGAATATTTGTGTTCCCTCAAAATTCATATGTTGAAAACCTAACCCCCAAGGTGATATTTTTAGGAGGTAGGGACTTACTTTTGGGCTCTTCCCTCATGCCTGGCATTAGTGTGTTTATAAAAGAGACTCTAGGGAGCTGGCTTGTCCCTTCCACCATGTGAGGACACAGTGAGAAGTTGATGTCTGTGGGAAAATGGGACTTCACCAAACACAGAATCCGTTGGAGCCTCCATCTTGTACTTCCCAGCCCCCAGAACCATGAACAATAGATTTCTGTTGTTTGTAAGCCACCTAGAGTGTAGTGTTTTGTTATAGCAGCAGGACTGGACTTAGACAAGGAATATTATTATTCTCCCCATTTTGCAGCTGAGGAAACTGTGGGCTGGGGAGGACAAGCCACATGGCAAGTGGCCGGGCCAGGGATGGAGCTCATGTTTGAGGTGCCCGGGATTCAGGTGTGGCGTGGGAGCTGAGACATTGGGAAGGATGGCGCCGGAGTGCCGGAGTGGCGTGAGATTCAAGGTGGGAGCCCCATCAGAGCTGTCCCAGACATTGGGGACAATGTGGCTGTGGCAATGAATGCCCACCAGACGTTGTGAACTCAAAAGCGCCCAGACTTGTCATTGCTCATGTAAACAAACGCATCGAGACAGCAGTGTAAGGCTCAGGTTCAAGGACAAACTGGGGAGTGGTGTGAACTAGCAGCACACATTCCTTCCCGGAGGGACAGCCACTACTCGGCTCTAGATGACCGTGCCAGGTGTGCACACAAGACAGGTGTCACCAGTTATTGGGATACCTGGAGGGAAGCCAGAAATGTGAGCTTAAACGTGGAGCAGTCCTATTTTAAAGGCTGGCCACACGTATGATTAAAAACTGTATTGCAGAGGCCACGCTGTGTGGGTGAAGCAAAACATATCCGCAGCCTGGGCTTGCTCCCAGGCTCTGAGCCACAGGAGCAGGTGACTGCAGAGGGACTGTGCTAGGCCCTGCTGCAGCTGCAGACCTGGAGTTCTACCAGACATGGTTTTGGCTAAGGTGCTAAGTGGCGGACTTGAGGGCATTTTCCTTTCAACAGGAGATTGTTCATTATCTACACCCCTGGCTTCAGGCTTCTCCAGTCTGGAGGCACACCTGCATTTACACTGATCTCAGTACCTGACTTGCTCCGTATTTTTTCCTTCCATCCCCAGGGATGGCGTGCTCCTGAGTAAGGCAGTTCGAGAGAAGCAGTATAGTGCAGTGTAGTGGTGAATAGTCTGGGTTTGCATCTTTGATCTTCCATTTACTCCCCTTGTGACCTAGGGCGTGTTCCTTCCCCTTTCTGTTCCAGTTACTCATCTATAAAATAGGAATCGTAATTTGACCTACCTCCAAGGGTGGCTTGAGAATTAGAAAAGATAGTAAATATTAAGGAAGTGGGAAAATGTCTGGTATATAGCAAGTGCTTGACAAATGTCAGCTATCTTCGTTCACATTTTCTTTTCCCTGTCCCATCGATTTGGAGCATCTGTTTACAGGCTCTGATGCACGGACCCCCGGGACAATTCACTCTGTGTTGTCCAGAGCCCTCAGGATGCTAAGGCTGCATTTATTTATTCATTCAGAAAATATTATTTGAGGGCCCACTGTGTGCTAGGCTCTGTTCTGGGCATCAGAGAATCAACTGTGAAGATGATAGAGAATAAGCTTATATTCTACTGCCCAAGACTGACAATAACCATGCAATCAAATAAATGAACAAAATCATTCCCAAGTACTTGCTGCTATGAAGAAAAAGAAAATGATGATGTGACAGTGAGTGACCAGACAGCTACTTTCGACTGGGTGCTCAAGAAAGGCCTCTCTAAGGGGTTGGCATTTGACTCGAAGTTTGAATAACAACAAAGTATCTTGTCATTCAAAAATGTGGAAGAAGAGTGTTCCAAGCTCATGGAACAGCAAGTGCAAAGGTCCTGAGGCAGGAATAAGCTTGGCTTGCCCAGGGGAAAAGCAAGAGGTCAGAGTGGCTGGAGTACAGAGGACAAAGGGAGGAGGGGAAGCCACGAACCACATCACGCAGGTTTTGCGGCCCAAGGTTTAGTTATATTTTAAGCCCTAGGTAGAGGATTTGAAGCAGGGGAGTGACGTGACAAGACCGGATTTATATTTTATATTTGTATGTCCAATGCATCACTCTTGCTGCAGCGTGGAGGATGGACTCTCCAACAGGAGGGGAGGCAGGGAGAATGGCTCTTCCCCAAATTATCTTTTCATTCATTCATTCATTCATTCATTCATTCATTCAACAGCTCTTTCTCATGTGTGTGCTATGTGTCAGTAATGTGTTAGGCACTGGGAGTCCATTGACTCATGAAATTGTCATGCACTCTGCTATCTTAGAGCTTTCAATCAAACGTCCCTCTTGGTTTCCTGGGTCCTGAAGCCGTGTTGTCTGCACATCATCTTTCATGAGCATCCTCCATGTCGGTTGTCACACTCTGTTTTCCTCTCTTCTCCCTAGGTACCTTCCTTACAACTCCCTACCTCCCTCAGCAAAACACAAGGCCTGTGAATGAGGGATGCAAAATGGACACAGAGGAGGAAGGAGGCACCTGAAGGCACCTTCTAGAAGCACAGAATCTCACTGAAGCCTGTACACATGCTCGTGAGCATCAGGCTATTGGGTAGGGGTGGAGTGGGGGTGCTCTATATCCAGGTGACCATGGAGGGAATTATAGGTCATAAAGGTGATCTTTATTTCTGATCTGTTTTCAATAAAGTCAAGCTTTTTCTTTAAAAGATAAATTATTTTTTCAGGTAGCGAAACAATATTGCTTGGTATTGGAGAACACTCTGTCAGATTCAATTCACAACCACAGGCTCTTGCATGAAACACTGGGTGTAACCTCATTCTCCAATGGCAAAGAAAATGGGCAAACCACTTTCTCCAAATGAATCCATGCACCTAATGATTGTCTTTTACTGTCTGATAGAAAGAGGCTGGTGAAAAGAACTTCCAAGAAAATCTGACGGGTGGGCTAAACAAATCTACAGCTTCTTTCCAGACAAGAAATGTCAGTTACACTTTTTAATAGAGAGAGAGTGACTTCATATTGCAAGGAAGCAACCAGCATTGGACCAATGATCTAGTAGGTTCTGTGTGTCAGGGACCTACTCATGTGGAGTGAACAAAGATGTGAGAGTTCTGGCAAAAGGACAAGTGAAAAAAAAATCAGTTTAAACCAATACCAGAATTCTTTTTTCATGACAATGAGATCCTTTTTGCAGAATGTTGTTCAGAGATACAATGTGTAAAAGGGAGAAAATAGAATCTGTTTTGAAAGTGGGAGGGTAATTAGTGTTCAGCCTTCCACCCTACCCCAGGTTAAGTCTTGGAGCTTTAGTCCTTCAAAGAACATAGCTGGGACCCTGTTGATTTAAACCATGATAGAAAACAAAGATTGTGTTAATCCTTTTTTTCCCTCAGCTAAATTTTATTGACAGTATATGCTAAGTACTTGGCTAACAAAGCAATTTATATACACAGTGCTTTGTTTGATTGGATGAAATAAGTATTGTTATACCTGTTGTCAAAATGAGGAAACTGAGGCTCAGGGTGGTTAGACCACATGCCCGAAACCATTCAGTCGTTAAGGGGAAAATCTTGGCTATGCACTCAGAGCTGACATTGAAGTTCTTGCTTTTAACTAATAAACTCTACTTTCTCTCTCTCTTTGACAGGCTCTTCAATTCTCATCAAAAGCAGAGTGTTTCAAGGAATGCTTACAGAAAGGAGACCAGGAGGAGAAAAAGGAGGAAGAAGGAGTATGTGGAGGAGGCAGGGGCAGAGGGAAGAGTAGGACTTCAACCAGTGACAAAGAGGAAATTAATGTAAAGTGATAAAAACCCAAGGAACCAAATGTTAAGAATGGAAATTCCTTGGAAAATCCAAAGAAAGACAATATCATGAGGGGAGAAGAGAAGGAAGAGGTGGGCTTAGATGCAAGCTTACTGTTTAGTTACCAAAATGCCAGGATTTCAGGCGGCACCAGACCCCCTGGTTTCCATTTTGATGCCATCACTTAGTCATTTACAGTCAGGTTAATGCTCACCAACGAGCAGACGGACCCAGGAGACTGGCCCAGGGCTTTTGCAGCTAACCGGAGCTGGGTGGTCTTTTTGGGTACCCAGCACACGAGATCCTGCCCTGGATGGTGGCTCTTCATGCCATCAAACAATCACTTTTCTCCTACTGACTGAAGTTTTAGCTAGGTTGCTGAGATGACTGGCTGGGTTGGGCTCCCTGAGACAATAGTGACCAGACCCAGGGGACAACCTGGAAGCCAAGAACTTGGCTGTGGGATGTCTTGTTCTCCAAAAGAACAGAGCAGGGAAAAGGAACCAGGGAGCAAGCTGTCAGTCTTTGTGGAGACCAGTCAGATTGGCTAGGCCATCTGTGGGAGTCAGTTGCTGAGATGAGTAGAATCCACGCCACACACTACCCAGGTGTTGAGTGGAGTTGGTGGCACAGCTCCTGCTCCTGCTATTGGCCAACCAGGTAGGTGACTGCTGGTTGGAAACACCTGTGTGCATGACAAAAGGCAGTTCACACCCTCATCCTCCATCTCTACTTGCCTCTCTGAACACACCCCGACCATGGTTGCTCCTTCCTTACTTTTTCAGGCAAAGGATGGCAAGTCACCAGGCAGGAGTGTTGGAGAGCATTTGGCTCTTCTTGGAAGGACAGGGACATTCATTAAAGATCTTCTGCATCCCAGGCAATTCACAAGCCTTCTCTGATCAGATTCTCCCCAACTCTAAGCGAAGCAGTATTAACTCCATTTTGTAGGAGATATTCAGAGAGATTATCTCCTACAATTTTCATCTCTGTCCAATTCTTAATTTTTTAATTTTAATTTTTTGAACTCCTTTCTCCTTTAGGTGCCCTGCACCTCTTGAGAGGGCATTTATTGATAAGATGCTTGGCCCTAACCTAAGGGCACCAGGATAGGTACGGAAGGCAGGACACCAGCTCTAGCAGGGACACCGTGGAAGCCAAGCAGATGACTAAGAGGCAGTCAGGTACAGGGTGACAGGGAGAGGAGGAGGCTTAAATGGAAAGTGCAGATAAAGACATTCAGGCTCAGTGAAAACACCACTACCTTGGCAAACAAAAGAAAGCCGGAGCTTTTCAGTTTACAGCCTCCCGAGTAGACCATCCTTTAGGTCCTTCTGGGCGCAGTGTTTGTTTGTTTGCTTATTTCTTTCGTCTTCCATCAGAACTATCATGTCCCATGCCGATTCTCTTTAGCTTCTGCTTTGTGTCGGCAGGAGTGGGTGGTGGCGATGAATCAGACACACGAACCCCGACTGCAGGGCGACTTGGCTAATGGGCAACTCCTCTCATGACTTGATGGCATAATTGGGCGAAAGCACATGCGTCCCGATGCTGGGCCCATTGACACATGGCGGGAATTCACACTGTGCCCAGTGTCCCCGTCCCTGCAACTGCGCCTCTGTGCCAGGAGCAGGGTGGGACAGGAAGTGGCAAGTGACCCAGCCTTGTTTCCCTTCAATAGTGCCATCAGTAAGATGGCCCGAGCCTAAGTAGTGGGCTGAAAGTTCTGGATTTCTGTATCACATAGTGGGCCCACGAGAGGGGTGGTGGCGGAAACGACGGCAATTTTAAAATTCATTTAATAATATTTTGGTTAATCACATTTTGAACTCCTAATAAACATATAAATACTTTCTTATAAGTTAAAAAAAAATACACTTGTGGTAAAAAGAAAAAAAAGTCCAAAGAGGAAAAGTCCCCATCCCCCATCCCCAAGCTCCCAGGCCCATTGCCCTAAAGAACTCAGTTAACGACTTTAAATATCTGAGGTAAGGAAGATCACCTATAGCTTACCTGTGCTGTCTCCAGGAGAATTAAGATCAAACAAACAAGCCACCCCATCTTCTTTCTGTCCTTCCCATCCCAGGGCTCCTATTATGCCAACAGCGTGGTCTTGTTCTTACGCATTTGTCATCCGCTCTCCCGGCTTTCTCTGTCCACGACTGTGCGACCGCTTTTCCATTTCAAAAGATGCCTTTTTCAGAAAAAACAAACAAACAAAAAAACCACCTCTTATAAGAGGCTTACACCTGACTATAGAAAAGATGGTCACGAATATAGAATTTGGGATCTGGGAGGAACTTTCTACAATCGTGGAAGCAGAGACCTTGGGAAAAGGAATACACCCACTACTTTGATGGGGTGTGTACAATTTTGGGGGTTATAAAAGGGCTTTGCTGTCCATCATTCTTCTCGACCGTCTTCCCAGCTCCTGTATGGATGGAGGGGTCGGCAGTATTATTTCCACCGTACAGATGGGGAAACTGAGCCTCCTAGAGGCTGACGTCCCCAACAGCCAGTGCACCTGTCCCTGGGGCACGGGCATGGGAGGCCTCCACCCCTCTGGCAATCAGCAGCCTGTGCAGGGATTTCAGGCGTGGTGAGGAGACAGCAGGCATGGGAGGCAATTCCCAGAACGCCTCACATTGCAACACTTGGGATGCCGCTGTTTTGCATAAGCTGACAGCCAGCCCTGACTCCCCTTTCCAGGTTCGGTTTGGCTCCTGGGCCTGGGCTTCCCGGGCATGGAAATGACATTCTCATGGCTTGGAGCAGAGGAGCGAGTGGCACTCTGAGCACCCAGCCAGCAGGGGCTCTTCCCAGGACTCTGCTTCCCTGATGGGAGCCGTGTTGTCTCCCTCTGTCCCCTGTCAGCCTTCCCTTAATTTGGTGCCATTGCCTCTCGCCTGAGCGGAGATGTCTGTTTCCCTTTGCCTACGTGAGGGTAAGGGCGGAAGGGGAGGGAAAAAGGCCAGAAGGTCGGGGTTGATTCAATGAGCAGGTGCTGTGCTACGGATGTGGGTACAGAGACAAATGAGGCAACACATTCACTCTGAGGACGTCTCAGCTTGGGGGAACAGGTGGTCAGACGCACAGCAAAGAGAATAAGCAAGCAATTGCATTTGCATTCAAGTAACAGAGACTCAAAGTAACAGAGAGTTAACCAAGAGCCTTCTTTCTGTCCAATTTCTCGAAATGTGGAGTTGGGTGGCCCAGGGCTGGCCTGGGAGCCCTGTGATGTCACTAGGACCCCAGGCTCCTTTGGTTCTTCTGCTCCGCAATTTTAGTAGAATCTCTTTGTAAGATGGCTGCTGGAGACCCACGTCGCACCAGGAAGAAGGAGAAAGGGGGAAATGTAAATGAGTATATACCCTTTTCACTTTCCTGAAAGCTTCACCCCATGATACTGGCTTACATTTCATCAGTTGCCCTATCTGCAAAGGAGGCTAGGAGGTATTTTGTTTTATTCAGCTATTTTTGTTTTCTATGGAGGGCACGTCATCATCTCCAACAGTACAATCTTTGTTACTATGGAAGAAGAGAAGAAGGGATGCTGGGTAGACTACTAGCCCTCTCAGCCAATCTGGGCAATTTCAGTGCATTGTGGTACCCTCTGCCGAATAGATAAGAAATTATTTAATTAATTAGCTAAATAATTAAACCTCTGTCACCCTCAAACTGGAGACAATAATAACACCTACTAAAGTATATAACAAAAAAAAAAGCACAAAAAAAGTAAAGTAAATATCTATAAAGTAACTCCATTTATAGGATTGTTTCGAAGGTTCGATGAGAAAATGTGTGTCAAGGGCTTAGAGCTCTGGGGGGTATGCCGTAAGTGCCCAATAAATGTTAGTTGTGCCGGTGAGTACAGCGGAGGGTGACGGTCCTGACATCAGACTGCCTGGGTGTGTATCCGTCCTCCAGCACGGACTGCCCCGCCATGGGCGTGGTCCCTGGATTCAATTTCTTCAATGGTGAAACACAAGGACGAGAGACTCAGCCTCTCTGCCACTGTCGCAGTGAGATAGTCTCTGGGGAGTGCTTCACAGGGTGTATGGCACGTCCTCGGCACTCGGGGAATGTTGCTCATTACGACCATGGAAACATGGAGAAAGGGTGGGTAACATAGACTCCAGGAGACATGGCCAGTCAGGGAGGGCTTCCCGGGTCAGGGGGTCTCTGAGTCGTGTCTTGGCAGATGTGAAGGAGACAGACAGCCCCAGGAAGAAGGTAGGGGAGGGTGTCACAGCCCGTGGACAGCATGGAGGTGTGAAAGCAATGGTGTGCTCTGGTAGCTGTGAACGGTCTGGCCGGGTCTGGGCTTCAAGGTCAAGGAAGGACATGCTACAAGTTGAAGCAGCGTTTGGGGCCAGGCTGAGGCACTGAGAGCCCTGGGGGAGCTGAGCCTGCTACTCTGATTTCCTAGGATCGGTTCCTGAAAGCAGATGAGATCATATTCACCAACGAGGAATTGGCCTGTTTGAACAACGCTTGATTTATTGGCATCTGTAAACCACCACCTGTTAACCAAAGGCCCCAGGCTCCAACTCTGGCCAGGATCCTCTGGGAACAGGCCTGTAACCAACTAATGACTTCCACTTTGGCAGAGAAGCAAATGCTCGTAGCTTGAGGCTGGTCTTATGACTGGAAAAATGGAAAGGCTGTCGTAAGTTCCAACAGGGATGTAAAGACAAGTTGCCTCCAGGTTTCCAACGAGGCAGATGAGCACAGATTTGTTTATCAGACTTCCCTAGAAATTAAGTTGTCGAGGCAGCTGGAGAGGTGAGGTGGGAGGAGAGGCAGAGAAAGGAACAAGAGGTGCTGGGATTACAACGGTGCATCGTAGTTAAGGCACCACAGGGGCGGCAAAGGGGCAGCTTGCTCCCCAGCAGAGGTTCGGCAGAAAGAGCACGCGACATGAGTTCAAAGTCATGGGGGCCAGTGTCACCTCGGTCCCCAAGTTCCCAGAAACCATGATCCCTGCTCGACTGGCATAACCAGGCTGTTTGATGAAAAAATGAGAAAACGTGTGTCTGCAAAGACACTTTGTAAAGGAGGCACCTAACATAAAATCCGACCCCACCCCAATCTCTCAGGGACTCTGACAGATTACAGAGGATGCCAGGCTCTTTGCCACCTTTGTACATTGACAGGCACTCCTTTTTCTGCCTAGAACATTCTCCAGCTCTTCCCATGGCTGGTTTGGCCTCATCTCACCTTACACACCACTTCCTCAGAAAGACCTTCCTTGTCTACCGAAAGTATAATGTAAGCTTTCCCATGTAGCTAATGGTTGAGAC